GCCGCCCCTCAGCGCCCGCCCCGGCTTCGCACCCCCCCCGCACCGCCGGCCCCGCAGCGCTCCCTGCCCGCGGCCTCGCCCGCAGCTCCAACACGCGCACCCGGACAACGACAGCGCTGCCCGGCGGGACGGACCCACCGCCAGCACCGCGACACACGGGAACTGCCTCCGTGCTCTCTCCCCACTTATCACACGGTGACAAAGATCCCAGCGGGGCAGAGAACATCAAGGTGACACTGGCGCTGCTCTCCGCGTGGAACGATCCTGACGGTCTCAGGTGGGCCGGGTGTCCCCGTGTCGCCCTACGCTGGTAACATCGCGCTGTGACAAGCAGCAGCTCCCGCTCGGACCTCGTGCTTCGCCCTCACTGGAGACCTGAGCCAAAGCCGCTTTCGTGGAGGCTTGGAGATATTCTGATTCCACAGAACCCGGGTCTAAAATGAAAGAGTTGGGAAGCTGCTGTTCTGTTTCGGAAAAGATAGTTCCGTATTTTTTAATCTTTTGATTTAGAGACAGTTGCACGTTTTAACACTTTCCTACAGGGAACAGCCCAGGATCTGGAATAGGGTTGATAGAGGGAAGTACAGCGTGTGTTTCCCCTTAGAAATAAATCCAAGCAGCCATGACAGCTGCAATGGCAAGCTAATTCCATATGGGTGGCTCTCCTGCCACCGTGTCCCCCCAAGCTGTGAATGCTCCGCTCTACCCGTCAGTCCCGAATTAAAGACCAAGGTAGGGCCCTGGAATTAAACCCCCCTGAGTACCAAGCGTTTTCTGTCCTTCACATCATATGGTAAGTGGGGAGAGAGCACGGAGGCAGTTCCCGTGTGTCGCGGTGCGGGCGGTAGGCCCGTCCCGCCGGGCAGCGCTGTCGTTGTCCGGGTGCGCGTGTTGGAGCTGCGGGCGAAGCCGGGGCCAGGGAGCGCTGCGGGGCCGGCGGTGCGGGCGGGGGGCGAAGCCGGGGCGGGCGCTGAGGGGCGGCGGGACGGCAGGAGAGAGGGGCTTGGGCAGCAGCCAGCGACTGCTGCTTTCTCTGTCTCTGTGCCACCACGCAACCTCTGAGGTCTACCTTTGGAACCGCAAAACCAGGGGAGAGCGCGAACGCAGTCCCCCACTACCACAAATTATGCAGTCGAGTTTCCCGCATTTGGGGAAATCGCAGGGGTCAGCACACCCGGAGTGCAAGGGATGAGCCTCGCCCTGGGAAAACCACCTGCCTGATCATGGTGTCTCCCCTGCCAGGTAAGTATGAGCTCTCCCTCACGCACGCAACCACACACGCCGCCAAACACACACTCAACTCACGAACACCCGGATTTCGCACAAA